ATCCCCATAAAAGTATATAACTATTTGATTGATAATTGACCGGAGAATCAAACAAGAGAGTCGTGAAAAATCATACTATACTTTACTGTATATATTCTTCTTGTCGTACTCCCGTTTCAGCAGCTCAGCCCCATGCAAGCAAAACGGAAGCAACCAGCAACCAGTCTTTGATTCGTGTCAAATCCGATAGGTGCTTCGAGAGCGACGACCGCGTGCGGATCAGGCGGCCTCTGGCATCTGCCATGTGAAGCCCCCACCCCCTCCTCCACCATCAGGGGCGCCCCCGGATGCCTTACGGTGAAAAAGCGGCGAAAGCGACGGACCGCGTTGTTGGGTTTATCTGCCGTCGTCGCCGTTCATCAGCGACGTCCGGCTAAAGCGTGATTCCCCTAGCGTTGTCAGCGGCGCGGCGGTTGGTTACACGGTTACAACTGGCTTTGAGCCGTCGCCAAGTGTAATAGGCAGGGCAGATTATTAGTGATGGCATGTGACGGAGCGTGGGGCTCCTCACCAGGAGACCGCGCAAGCCCCCTTTTGCCGGTTCGGCCGGGGGCCCTGGGTGAGATTCTAAGCTCCTAGTCTGTGGAAAGTTCGCGAGAATGGAAAAAGCACAAGACACGGGCGATGTATACAGGTTCGGGCCGCTGAGAAGCGTAATACCCTACTCCTGTGTTCTGGTGGATCTGTGTATGAAGAAGCTACAAAGAGCTGGAGAGCCAGAGAGCTCTTATTCTAAAAACCCTCTTCTCCTTTTTTTTTTCTCGTGGGATCTCCTCTCCAGATCATCCCCCCTTCCAGTCTCCTCTCTTAAGTGGGCAAGGTCCTCCTTTTATATCTCAAGGGGATACCACATGCACCACTTCTCCCTCTCTCTCTTTTTGGGTGGAGGCCCATCCTATCTATAGTAAAACTTGGCTTGCCTTCTCTTGGAAGCTGAAACACTGCCTGTTTTTGAGTGTGGCCACGCGTCCTCGTTCGTCTGACCTCGGGGATCACCCTGTCATCTCTTCATAAATGGGCGGAGATTTGCAACGGCTGCTGCCCGAGTGACCCTTCTGATGGGACGGCCCATACCTACCTCCACTCCGCCGGAAGCAGGTGCAACGTGGGAACACGGTTGTCTTCTGGCGACATAACCAGTGTCAGACCAGTCACAGACCGGTCACCTTTGTCCACCACGTGTCAGTTTAGCAATCTGCATGTTCGCCCTTCTTCATACAACGTCTTGTTTATAATGGTTGGGATAAAGCCTGGCATATATCTGACCAGGACCAACGTGCCATCTCCAGGAGCTAGCACGCTGGCTCTGGCTCCGGCTAGGGACGAGTGCCTAGAGACTCTCATCCTGACGGGACGGGGCGAGGCGTGTGTCAGATCGCCTGTTGCCTCCTAACCCGCAATCTGACCGATCTGTGACCGGTCACAGACCGGATAAACGAGCGTGCCATACTGCGCTACATGTGGCGTGACGCGCTCGTCCAAACCGCAATAAATGTGGTTAGGTGAGCCCCGCTATGCTCACCTACCCCATATACGCGGCGCAAAACCCACAAGGGGTCGGGGCGCCTCGGCCCTCGGGGCCGAGACGGGAGCGGTCCGACCCCTCGGGGAGACAAAGAGAAGGGCGGCCGTATCACCCTCGGGTCCGACCCCCCCCCCCCCCCCGAGGGGGTTAGGCCACGTGGGTGATCGTGTCTGCCTCAAGTCTCTAAGTCATGATACTTCCGGTCCCATGTCACCGACAGCATGCGAGGCTGCATGTACGTCCACAAAGCGAGGGAGAAAGACTGGACGGATGGCTGATCGTGGACTGACCATTTCCGTTGTGGATTGTGTCTGAATTCTGATGCATGTGTGGCAGCCCTTTTCTATTTGAGTCGGGAAAAAGACAGTGCACTGTGTGCAACAAGACAACAAGAAAAAAAGAAAGAAAGAAAAACCACACACACCACACACAAATTGAGGTTTGGATCCCAAAAAAAAAGGTTGGAAGATTTGGATACAGTTTATTTTCAAGTAAATCCGTCCTTTATTAATGAAGTATCGTTTAGTTTATCTTCGTTACACTTTACATCACCTTGATTTTAAAGCCCCGTTTGTTTCAACTTAAAATTATTATAATCTAAATTATTAAATCAGATTACTATAATCTGGATTATAATAAGCCGATATATAATAAGCTGTTAGCTATTTGATTCTCTGGATTATTAGCTGTTACACCCAATAATCTACTCCCTCCGTCTCATAATATAAGGGATTTTGAGTTTTTGCTTGCACTCTTTGACCACTCGTCTTATTTAAAAAATTTATGCAAATATAAAAAACGACAAGTTGTGTTAAAGTACTTTGAATAATAAAGTAAGTCAAAAAAATAAATAATAATTCTAAAATTTTTTGAATAAGACGAGTGGTCAAACAGTGCAAACAAAAACTCAGAATCCCTTATATTATGGGATGGAGGGAGTAGAAAAAGCACTTTTAGAGTGGATTACCAGATTATAGTAATCTGGCTTATAGATTATAATAATCTATCATAATACGCTATCTATTTGTTTCAGCTTACTCCTAATAATCCAGATTATCATAATCCTAAGCTGAATCAAACAGGGCCTAACTCGGTAATTTCAATTACATCGGCTTTTGCACGACAATAAACTCCTAAGGGTCCTTTGAATAGTAGGAATGAAAACAAAAATGGAGGAATAAGAAAAACACATGATTTTGACAGTAATGTAAGTGTGAAACAGATGATTGCAAAACACAGGAAAAACATAGAAATAATCGTTTGACTGAGTCGCAGGAAAAACACAGGAATCAGATGAGAGAGATATACTCAAAGGATTTTTTTTTTCCAATAGGTTGGACCTCTTGCTAAATTTCCTCCAAAACTTACATGCAATGAGTCATTTCATAGGAATTGTATAGAATTTGGAAAATTCAATTCTTTAAATCAAAGAGCCAAATAGAAAAATTCCCTATAGGATTTCAACCCTATGAAATTCCTCTCTAAATGTTTTGATTCAAAGGGGCCCTAAAACTGTCTATAGTTCATATCTTGATAGAAAATGAGCTAGATGTGGATGGATAAGAAAGTTGAGGTGGTTCAAAGTGATACAATATAAAATTAGCTACTCCCTCCGTTCCAAAATAAGTGTAGTTTTACATTATTCATGTTTAACGTTTGACCGTTCGTCTTATTTAGAATTTTTTATTATTAGTATTTTTGTTGTTATTAGATGATAAAACATGAATAGTACTTTTCTGTATGACTAATTTTTTTAATAAAATTTTCAAATAAGACGAATGGTCAAATGTTGGACACGAATATCCACGGCTACACTTATTTTGGGCCGGAGGTAGTAGTTTAGAATAAAAAGGGTGAATAAATGATGCCTAAACTGAAACTTTGGTAATAAAAGTTGGTTCAAAGTTGGATGCACCCTTTCTTTTCAAAGTTGTTCTGATACCTGATAAGGAGAAATACGGATATAGATGCACCGGTGGAGACAGGATCACAGGAGGAGCACTTTATGCTTGACCTTTTTAGTTTTGTTTGGATACATTTTACTACTACTTTAACACCGCTGCTATATCCAGGTAGATATGGCAACGGGGAATTCACCGTTAGGGGTCACATCCGCGTCCCCGTCCTCATAGTGATAAAATTTCACCGTCCCCGCCCCCGTCAACCACAACAGGGCTACATTTTCTCCAGCCCCGATCACCACTCGGTGAATTTATCCCCGTGGTTACCCCGTCCCCGGTTAAACAAAACAAATCAACTCAACACAAATCATCACTTCAGTAGTTGATTTCTTCAGCGACGGAGGCCGTTGGCGGCGGACGGCGTGCTAGCGAGTGGCGACAGAGGGCGGCATGGCGCTGGCAGCGGACGGAGGACGGCAAGCGTCGCGCCCGCGTCGACGGCTGCAGGCACCGGGCGGCGCAACTACCGTGGCTCCCGGCGGCACGTCAACAACTGGGACGCGACGACGACAGCTGGGGCGGCGCGTCCACGGCTTGGCCGTCTAGAGCGGCGGCGCACCTGGTGGCTGGCCGCTGGCGGAGTAGCGTTGCACACGTGCAACGGAGCCGCCGCTGCCGAGTGCTCGATCTGAAGGAGTGGAGGATTTGGAGTTTTGACTGGTTGACTAGGGTTAGTTTTTATATATACATGTTATTTGGGCTTCAATATTATGGGCCAGAACGTCTAAAAAGTTTAGAATTGGTCCTCTCTACAACAAAGTCAGGTCACCACGGGGGACGGGGACGGGGGAATGGTGCGTCGTCCCGTCCCCGTCATCCCCGATGGTGATAAGTATGAAACCATTTCATTCCCTATGAAGGATAAATATTAACCATCCCCGCCACCTAATAGATGAATTCACCGTGGGGAAACGGTGAACGGAGACCCATTGCCATCTCTGTATCCAGGTAGCTAGAGGATATATATGCATTGGCGGAAATATGAGGAGTATAACCTGGATGTAGATCGTAAGTGGCAGAGCAATAAATTTTTTCTATAAGATCAAATACCATTATCCATATTTTAGTGGGTCATTTTCATAATTTTTAATAAATTTACATTTAAAAATGGAGACTCGCAAACATGTTTGCGAAAAAGCTATCTGGTCAGCTGATCCCACAGCCTAAAAACATTGAAATTTTAGAGGATTTTAATCCTATAGAAATATTTCCCATAAAGCCCTTTAAAACAAAGGATTGAATCATATCCAATCTTTTGAAATTCCTATGGAATGGACATCCTTTAGAGATTTTGAAGGAAATTTAACAAGAGTTTCAATCTCTTGGTAACTTTCCTTTGAGTCTATTTCTCTCATCCAATTCCTGCATTTTTTCTGCGGTTCAATCAAACGGTCATTCCTGTGTTTTTCCTACGTTTTGCAATCCTCTGTTTTACACTTACATTCCTATCAAAATCCTACTTTTTTCCTATTCCTACTTTTCTCAATCCGGCGATTCAAAGTGACCCTAAATAGTCGAAAGTAAAACTTTGGTAAGAGGTGTCCCTGCTGAAATTCACTCATAAAAAAATTAGGGACTCAACAGTAAATAAGCTCTACTCCTATATCAGTAGATCTTATCGGTATTTTTACTTAGCTTGCAATATACAACATATATTAAAAAGAACATATGATAATGTGGATTGTATGACTGACTTCTCTAGTCTACAACTTGCAAAGGGACCACATATAATTTTGACTTCAAACATTTTGAAACTGCGACAAACAATGCAATGAAGGGCGTACAAAGAATTTAAACTGCAAATTCTTGTCTTGCACTATTCCGCCGTAGTCACTGTCGGATTTCAATAACCACCTCTACAGATTCTGGCATATCTGGGCCATCCTGGTGGCTTCTGTGTTCTTGATGAACTGGGAGGAAATGAGATGTTGGATTAACAGAACTCTCAGGGAGGGTGGGGGGTTGAGACATGGTAGGAGCAGAGGATACGGTCGATTTTCCATCAGGCAGTTCTTTCAATGAGATCCGGCATATTGGGCAAGTAGTCTGCTTCAGCAACCATGCATCTAAGCAGTAAAGGTGAAAGTTATGATGACAAATAGGTACAATTCTTAGAATGTCCTTCTCCTTGTATTCACTTAAACATATGGAGCACCTGTTACAACAAAACATCCTATATATTACAAAAAAAAAAAATTATGGATGCATCATAAATTTAAGAGGTATGGCTGCAAGCAGAGATGATAATGATAGAAAGTTTACTTGAAGTAAGACTAAACTGAACCCAGGTTGACAACGTAATGAGATAAGACTCAACTCTGCCAAATTGGTTCCTATTAAATCTGGACTGGTGGCGAAGGCCCAAGGTACTGCAAAAAAACTGATAAAAGCTACAGGTGTGTTGTCCTATGTTATCTCATCAACAAGAAGTATGATTGATAATCTATAATATCTCTACCCATTGTACATATTGATTAAATATGCTTCGATTAAGCACATCTAAATTCCAACATTTCCACAAGGATATGAATTCCACAAAGTCTAACAAACCTTTTAACTCATTGTGCTAATATTTTTCAATAACCATAGTTTTTCTAACAATAGCATGTTAGAAGCAGATTATATGCATTGAACCACACTATAAAGAAGTTCAATAATATTTACTTCAGATGGTGACGATTGTACTTACTGGGTGTCATCTTCCGAATGGAAAGCTTCACAGTTATACTTCATTGTAGGAATTGCAGCAACAGCCAATGGTTCCAACCCACTGCGGGAATGCTCTATCTGAACAATAAAAAAAAATCTTGCATTTACTTTCAAGTCCAAAATGAATTTATAGGGCGTGTTGACTATTGATTCAGTTGATCTATTCACTAATAATTTCCATATGAGCTCAAACGCTCAACATAGTACTATAGATTCAATGCACTGTTTTATATGTAGTAGTACTAGCTAAGAGGAACTACTACAAGACCACTAACTCTGAAAGAAAGATGCTTTGTGCAGTTGGCGCTATACGAACTTCAGTGAAAATACATTATACTATTATTATTGAATTGATATTTTTCAGCTTATTTTGTATATATAGGAAATGATCCAAAAGACTAACACATTTTTCATTTTAAAAGAGAGAATAACCCAATTTAAACCAACAAAGAAGAGAAATTCAGAAACAAGTCTAGCATACATGTGTTGATGTGCCTTCCTCCTTTAGTCGCTTAAATAAAATTGTTATTTGTACAGGGAACATAAAACCATAAACAATATTAAAATGATTAAAAAGATTAGACGGTAACATCTCAAATTCTTAATGAATCTCTTAAGGAACCCCAGTAAGCAATCCAAAGCCACTTTAACAACATTGCACGCCCAAGGTAAAGCAGGCTAGTGTACTACTAGTGCCTGTACTTATTCCCCATTTGATTTACTACACAGTAAGGCCATCATAAATTGAGCATGACACATGACAAGTATTTCTGCTTGAAAGTAGAAAAGTACTGTCCATGAACACAGAAAATGAAAACAGATATACTCCAGTCGTTTTGTGCACGTGCCATGCCACTGCAGGTAGCAGTGATACCGTTAACACGAGCAAATTACTACTCCAGTTTGTGGACTAAAATCGCAGCGGAAGACTATTATTGAGGGAGAACAAGGTGCCACATACCGGGCGATCGAAATCCGAGGGGAAGTCCGCGTCGAAGTCCACCGGCGAGGGGTGTGGCCGTGACGCGCTAGCGTCCGCGCGGCGGGCGCGGCAGCAGACGAACCGCGCGCAGACGAACGCGACAAAGGCGGCGGTCATGCCGAAGCCGAGCGCCGCGCTGACGAGATTCAGGCCCGACCCCAGCATCCTCCCTCCCTGCCCCCAGCCTCTCTGGCTCCTCCCACCCCCGCTACCACGAGTCCACGACAAGGAGAGGCGGGGAGACGAGTCCCTCCCTACCGCTCGAACAGGCGGCCGCCGCTGCGGCGAATCGCGAGAGCGGCGAGCTCCGGCCCGGGGGTGCCCATCGGGCGGAGCGTGCGGTGTCTCCGAGCCCGGAACCTGGCGTGGCGCGCCTGCCGGCGATAGGGTTGGGGAGGCGGATCGGCCGGCGTGGTGGAAAGCGGAGGTAGCTGCCGGGACGGAGTGGGGAAGGGGAACGGGAGGCGGTCGGCGCTAGAGGCGGCGGGCGTGCACTTTGGTCGCCATTTTTTCACCGCTACTGCCGCCTTTTTTCACTTAGGTCCCTCCCTTATCCCTTAAATCATTCCGCTGCCTGTACGGTGTAGTTAGTAGTAGACTTTTGCCGATGGCCGCGGCCCTGCCCAAGCGGGAGCACTCAGAGCACAGCAGCCCAAGCGAATCGAGCGACGGCGCGACGCACGGCACATTACGCGGACACCCCGCGCCCACGTGAACCTACGACATCAGCCCACCTGCTACCTCCACAGAAGCACAGACGCCTCGGTCAAAACCATCGTCTCCACGGGAATTTTTTTCGGTTTTAGATTTTATTAAAAAAATATTTACAGAAATAATCTATCGGCCAAAAAAATTACAAAAATAGACCCTGTCGCCCACCTCTGGAGCGGCAAGCTGACGTGGCAAACAGGGGAGGAACGGGCGGTGACGGAGGGAGAGTTTTTTGCAGGAAAACCCTTGCCGCCCTCTGGTGGGGCGGCAAGGGGCCCGAATGCAAAAAAGCCAGTCGGGGCCGGCTATTTTGCAGGCGGCCCCTTGCCGCCCTCTGGCCGGGCGGCAGGCCTCGCTGCCTATAAAAGGCCTGCTGCCCAGCCCCCAGCCCTCATTCTTCTCTCCTCAATTCCAGTGAAAAAAAAAAGAAGAGAGGGGAGGAGAAGAGAAGAAGGGGCGAAGCCCTGCCGGATTCAGACGCCAATTTCAGGTAATATTCATAGATCCTATATGTGACCGCTATTTGGCGCATACGACCAATGTAACTTTCGGCGCCGATCATGCATGTATCTTTCGGCGCCAATCAGGCGTACCCACCATACCCCACCACGTTCACATGTCAGGGGTATCACTCGATTTTTTGCGCCTATATAAGTCGCCTTAACGAGTGAGGCCTCACAATATTTCAGAACTCAGTCATATTCAGTACTCTCTTCCCCACTTGCTTCATTACAAATCCGACCGGCTTTCGTCAATGGCTAGACGCCGGGGTGTTGAGGATCCAAACTGGCGTAGCGATCCTTGTGTATACCTACTACCACCTTGGTGCCAGCGTCCTCTCTACCTATGCGGTGATCGATGCCAACTAATGGCTTCGAGGAATCCTAATATTCGAGGAAGGCGCTTTTTTAGGTGCTATGACCGTGAGGTATTTTATTATCTGCATATGCTTATTCATTCCGTATGGGCAATCGCTTTATTCTTCGTAACACTACTCTATTCGGCAGACCCGCACTACGGCTTGCGCATACATCGAGTGGGTCGATACAGAAAATCCCGTTCTCGACCTAACCACTTGTTTACAAGAAGGTCGCTGGTATTTCGCATCCGAAAGTACTGAGCAATACTTACAGAGAAAAGCGGCTTATGAACGACAATGTCGTGAACAACAGAGCGACTGGCGGGTGCTAACTACGGCACTCCCTCCATGGGAAGCCCGTCCAAGATGCAGGTGTGGTGATCGTTGTCAGGTTCTTCGTTCCATAAATCCTACAACATTAGGTCGAAGGTTCTTTGTTTATCCAAATATTCTTGACGACGATTTCATGGTAAGAATATTTTGATTACATGAATCCTTATTTTCTCACAACATTTACTAACTTTGCTTGCTTTACATCTATTCTTTCCTCCCAGGAACCACCAAGGAGATGTCAATACAGAGAATGGATAGACACCAGAAGGGTTCTAACTCCACCTAGCCGTGTTGTGCAGCTTGAACTACCAGAGCAATACAGGGTTACTAAAGCGCGGTTTGAGAGAGGAGAGGGATCCTCACGTAGGGGTTAGCTATTATCGGACAACTTGGCATATTGAAATTTCTACTGTCATGCTTCCTTGTCCCATTACTACATCGTCGTTGTGTTCAACTATTGCACTACCTCCCTCCTAATTCGAATCTAATATCATCTATGTAACCGCAATGCAAATAGTCGTATCATGTTCAAATTGTACTACTATTTCTTCATGTTACATAATTCTCCTTGTTTAAGTCCATATAATGTTTCTACGACCCAGACTGCGATAGGCCTATATAAATTATCCGAGTACTAATACGTCGAATAAGGTACAAAATAATACCTCACTTAACATATGAAATTGCGCAACAACCAACTTCAATACATTTTTATAACAATATTAACAAGTTTTACCAATAAATACTTCTTTATTTATTATTAACATAACATAGAAAAATCTTTTGGCCGCAAGCTCTTTATGGGCGGCTAAAATTGCAATTAGCCCCTTGCCACCCTCTGTATGGGCGGCAAGGGCCTAATCGCAATTTTGGCCGACGGCGGCAGACGGCGCGGTCGACCCACCGTCTGCCACGTCAGCTTGCCGCCCACCATTAGGGCGGCAGGGGCTATTTCTGTAATTTTTTTGGTCGATAGATTATTTCTGTAAATATTAAAAAAAAATCTAAAAACGAAAAAAATTCGTCCCCACGGTGGGCTAATCAAGCCCAACTCGATAACCACCTAGACCCCGGCCGGCTAATCCGTCCCAACTCGAAAGTGTCTCTACACTTTCATGCCTACGGCCCAACTTGATTCGGCCGAAGTGTGGCCGACGAGCGGATCACCCACGATTGCATGACACAGTAGTACTTCCGATCTCGGGGGAAAAACCCCTTTTGTGAACACGAGCTGCTTCCGGGACGAAGGGTTCAGAACCGATCACGAAGTTTCAAAGGTTCATGTGCCCTATTCTGATCTGAATCAACGCAGTTCGCTTGATGTTCACTAGCCCGAAGGTTCGTGTCCCCGTTCTGATCTGAATTAATGTAGTTCACTTCATATAGATTTCATTGGCGTGCATCTGAATGCAATCGCAAGACTGAAAGTCCGTTGTTTCTGGCTTCAGAACCACGAGGCTACGGTTTCTATAACTATTCTGTGTTTTGGTTTCTGCATCCAGACTGAAGCGATCCACTTACTATTCTGTGTTTTGGTTTCTGCATCCAGACTGAAGCGATCCGAAGTGGATTCGTTTTAGATTCAGGCTTGTGTTACGCAAGTAATGCGAGATAAAAGTTTTCATCCACTCCAATTTATGCATGCAGAGTACTGTTAATCTCAATAAACAATCATGTTGCTTTCCCTTGCTGCCGCCGCACACTGCCGCACACTTAGCCAGCTAGCTTAGCAGGTGTTATACTAAGTAGAGGGAGAAATATTTAGATGTTCACTTGTACTTAATTCGCTAGTGTCTACCTGAGTGAAACTGGATTTAACACCTGTATAACTTAGTTGTCACTTTGCACAGAATAGACATATTTTAACAGCACAATTTCACTTGCATTATTATCTATCCCGGAACATGAATTGCAATGTTCATTCAGTTTTCAGTAGCTTACCAAGTAGTGGATGGAAAGGGGTGAAAAGGCCTGGGCAATCATGTTCATACAAATCTTGTCACATTGCACAGAACAGAAATATTTTAACAGCACAATTTCACTTACATTATTATCTATCTCAGAACATGATTTGCCATGTTCATTCAGTTTTCAGTAGCTTAACAAGTAGTAGATGAAGAGGGGCGAAAAGCCATGGGCAATCACGTTCTTACAAATCTGGATGGAATAAGTCCACTTTGACTCCCTGAAGTGACCCGAATCTAATCCATAACCCTAAATCGCAAAAACAGATATCTCGAACCCGAACTATTGAAACTGGTGCAATATGACTCCCTTGACTGTTTTGGAGGGCGGTTTCATTGACGTAGCAGTGTTGATCTAGTATGTGGGGTTCACATGGCGCTTAGATTGCATTTGAATTAAAAAACATATATGTGGGACCCGTTTGTCATTCACAACATAAAAAATTGTGCGGCCCACTGACATGTGGGCCCCACATGTCATCTTCTCTCTTTCTTCTTCCTCCCCTCTTCCTCCCTTCTCTCTTTCTCTCTCTCTCTCTCTCTCTCTCTCCCCTTCGGCCGGCGGCGAGCGTGGGCTGGAGCGGCGGCGGCGGCGGCAGCAGTGGGCTGGAGCTGATGCGGGAGAGGATGGCAGCACCGACGCCGATGCCTGGACTACGAGGTCGCAGCTCCTCGCGGCGGCGATGCGGATGGAGGACAGCTCTCCCCCGGCACCGTCGGCGCCTCCACCCTCCCGCCTGCCGCCGCCACTCTGTCTTCGCCACCGAAGAGGGAGAGAGAGAGAGGGACGCCGACGGCTCCCTCGAGCTCTTGTTCCTCTCCCCAAGCGCCGTCGGCACCTCCACCCTCCCGTCTACCGTCGCCACTCCGCCCCCGGCGCCAAAGAGGAAGAGAGAGAGAGAGAGAGACGCCGATGGCTCCCTCGAGCTCTTGTTCCTCTCCCCTAGCACCGTCGGCGCCTCCACCCTCCCGTTCGCCGTCACCACTCTGCCTCCACTGCCGAAGAGAGAGAGAGAGAGAGAGAGTGAGAGAGAAGGGGGGCGTCGATGGCTCCCTCGAGCTCTTGTTCCTCTCACCCGGCGCCGTCGGCGCCTCCACCCTCACGTCCGCCACCGCCACTCCGCCTCTGCCGCCGAAGTGGGAGAGAGAAAGAGTGGTAAAGGGGAGAGAGAGGGACACCAACGACTCCCTCGAGCTCTGGCTCCTTTCCCACGGCGTCGCCGGCGCCTTTGCCCGTCCACCACCACCACTCCACCTATTGCCGCCACTCCGCCTCTGCCGCCGCCAACACTGGCCCTGGCTCAATGATGAGGGAGAGAGAGAGCGGGGGAGGAGGAAGGGATAGACCCCCAGTGGGCCCCACAAAATTTTATTTTGTGGGAATGACGAATGGGTCCACAACTCCACATGCCACCTAAGCACCACGTCAACGGCGGACCAGGTCAACAATGCCACGTAGACACCACGTCAGCAAAACCGCTATCCAAAACTACCGAGGGAGTCAAATTGCACTGGTTTTAACAGTTTAGAGGTTAAGATATCTGGTTTTGCGGTTTAAGGTCACGGATTAGATTCGGGTCACTTTTAATAGAGTCAAAGTGAACTTATTCCAATCTGGACCATGGATAAATTTAAGTTTGTACTAAGTTGGTATGTGCTGGGCTGTATACTCATGTGGGCTGGAATGTCATAG